GGGCCACATTTGGAATATTGTGTTCAATTTTGGGCTCCTTACCTTAGGAAGGACATTGAACTGTTGGAAAGGATTCAGAGAAGAGTTATCAGAATAGTGCTTCTCCAATTGTTTTCTATTGAAAAAAAGCAAATTAACGGGGATCTCATTGAGGTGTTTAAGATTGTAAAGGGAATTGATAGTGTTGATGCATAATCTTTTTTCATATTCAACAGTGAGGGTAGTAGGACTAGGGGACACAAATATAAAGTTTGGCAAGGTAGGAGTTATCTTCAGCTAAGACAGTTTCATTTTTCTAACAGGGTGGTTAATCTTTGGAATAGGTTGCCTTCAGAAGTTGTAGATGCAGTAAATTTAAGTGAGTTTAAAAAAAAGCTTGATTAGTATATGCATAATAAGGGCTGGCTCTAAGATTTAAAAAAAAAATAATTAAATTAGTTTAGAGGATGGAACAGCCGAGATGGACCAGTAGGTCCCATGTTGTCCCAAAACATTATTTAATGTTATTACTTTCCTTCACTTTTAAGATTTCTTTGGCACTATTATAATGAAAAAATAGTTAAGTTAATTTTTACAAAAGAGAAAAAAATGCTGCTCAGAAAACTCATTATTATTATTTGAAAGACATGTTTGTGTCATAACATATTTCATACAATATACAATACTAACTAAGCACAACAGCCCAATCAAGTGTAATTACATAGGGTATATTACTCATCTGGCAATTATTTTTTTCCCCCCAAGTGGCATGTTACAATGATTGATTATTTACAGTTCTACATTACAGCCTAGTTTTTGTAAAAGGATTATAAAAGAAACTTGAAAGACTAAAACTACTTTTAAAAGTTAATGAAAATAAAAAGATAACTACACTTTTGCCCCTCTTCCAACATGCAGGTTAGTGAATGACTGCCACAATTACACTTAATTTACTTCCAAGTTTCTCTACACAAGTTTCTTCCGTCAACTAAATGGCTAAATTAATCTCTTTAGAAAGCATACTGAATCTATAATTCTGAACTAATATTTTTTTTAAATAATAATAGGTTTGAAAAGTATCCTCTTTCAATAACACAGTGACCATTTTCAGGTACAATATAGAAATGTTAGTATTATTCAAATAAAAATATTGTTGCGTCAGCGAGTCACATGACCACCGTGACGCAACGGTTCTAGAACTATCATGTACTTCGGCAAATGCTCTAGTTCTTACTAGATATAGGGTAGGCGGATATATAAAAGAGGGGAATGTAACGTGTCTGGGTAGATAGTTAGTGAGTAATTGAACTGCAGTCAGAGAGAGACGTATTGTTGTAGTTAACGTTCGTTCGTTA